TAAAATAAATTTAGTCAGTGAAAAGGAAACCAAAGCATTCAGCATGTGAAAAGTCTTAGCTCTTTTAATGTGCTTAATGTTATAAAAGAATAGTTCAACCTTAAGCACACAGGGTTTGTTTGATTTTGCAGGTGCATTGCATTTTCATGTTAATAACAGAACTCAAGCAGAAGTGATTCAACTACCTTGAGTACTGGTAATTTGCATAGTAAATCTAAGGGTTTTGAGAACGTTAAAAAAGTGTTTATTTTGGACCCATGCCAGCCGCCATAGCCTAAACGTCTGCAGGCGTGTGTGCAGGTTCAAGTGCTGTTGCTGGAAGACTCCAGCAGCACAAGCAAGTGTAAGAGTCAGTGTGGCTAAGGGATCAGGAAGGGAACAGAGTTCTCACTTAGATGGCCAGGCAGATGCTGCTGCAGATGCAAGGACTTGTCATTTTGAAACAAGTGCTGTCAATTGAAGAAAAAGTATTGTTGGAAGAACCGCAAGATGCTGTGATCAGTGTCATTGTCATGATGATGATGATGGTGAGGATGATGGAGGATGTCTCTTAAGGTAGAACCAGCAAAACCAAAGCCCACTGATGAGGAATGTCTTCAAGATTTTCAACCTAGAACCTGTTATATTATCAAGCTTAGTCAGGGTTTCTTTTGCTGGGAAGAGGCACCATAACCACAGCAACTCTTATAAAGGAAAGCATTTCATAGGAGTTGGCTTACAGTTCAGAAGTTGAATCCATTGTTGTTATGGTGGGAAGCATGGTGACACACGTTGCTGGAGAGGTAGCTGAGAGTTCTGCATCTGTATTAGCAGGCAGCAGGGAGAGAGTGAGAGGGGGGGGGAGACAGAAAGGAAGAAAGAAAGAAAGAAAGAAGAAAAGAAAGAAAGAAAGGAAGGAGAGAAAGAAAGAGAGATATCAACAGACAGACAGTGGGTCTGGCTTTAGCATTTGAAACCTCAAAGGGCACCCTCAGTGACACACTTCTTACAACAAGGCCACACCTACTCCAGCAAAGCCACACCTCTTAATAGTACTGCCCCCTATGAATCTATGGAGGCCATTTTCATTGAAAGTACCAACTTACCTACTGTTATTTTCAAATGATTATATTTGCTAGTTTGCATACAATTCAGTGTCTAGGAAATGTGCCTTTGTTTTTAATATACTCAAAATTGAGGTCTGGGGTGATCCCACCCATACTTTGCACAGTGTTTTTACTGGTTTATGGGTAGGCTGGGAAAGAGGACTTCTGATGCTCTCCATTCTGGCTTTTAGAGACTCCACTGAAAAGTCAGGCGCTATTATATGGGTCTGCTTTTACATGTTACTTGGTCTTCTTTCTTTGTCGCTTTTACTATCTATCTTTGTTCTGTACATAACGGTGTTTTGAGTATTATTTGACATGGAGAATTTCTTTTCTGGCCCTTTTTTGGTGTTCTGTTATACTTTATGTAGCTTAAGAACCACCTGCTTCTTTTGTTAAAATATTTTCTGTGCCTTTGACCTGGGTTTTTTCTCCTTCCTCTATTCTTATTATTTAGATTTGTTCTTTTCATACTGTCCCAGATTTCTTGGATGTTTTGTATCTGGAATTTTTAGATTCTTGTTTTGCTTTTCAAGACAGGGTTTCTCTGGGTAGTCATGGCTGTCCTGGAACTCTCTGTAGATCAGGCTGGCCTTGAACTTGGAGAGATCCACTTGACTCTTCACTACCTCCACCTGTCTTGAGTGTTTAGCTTTAGCATATTTTAGCCATGTCAAGTCCAGAAGATGGTTTCCCAGCAACTTCTCCCCTGCCCCTCGGCCTCCATCTCTTCTGTTCTTTCTGTCCCCACTTCTGGGATGTGTCTAAGCCCAGAGATGTCCTGTTAAGGGCTGACCATTCAACAGTCACATATCTTTACCACTTTGAGTCTTTGTATTCGCTACTGCCCAGTGCAAAATAGTTTTTCCGGCCAAGGCCGAGCTCAGCACTCCCCTGTGTGTATAAACATAAATATGTAGAGGGAAGCTTGATAAATGTTACTTAGCCAAACATGGGTCGTTGGCTCCTCGTAGGGCCCATGACCTTCCCAGCTATGGGCTTTCGACCATATTTAATGTCAGATATGATTTCCTCCCCACAGAGTGGGCCTGAGACCCAATCAGAAAGTTGATGACAGTCATATCTCTTGTACCAGTGGGTACATCTTGTCTGACAGGTTGGTATTGTAGCATGCAAAGTTCACGGCTGGGTAAGACTTGATGACTTTTCTCCCCCAGCAGCCCACTAGTATCCTGAAAGCTAGCCAGCAGGGAGGAGGGTTCCAGCTTGGTTCCAGCTTAATTTCTCTGTCTTGCAAAAGAACTGTGTGGTGTCCTGGTGTCTTCATCAGTAGGGCCTTATCGTCTGTTTCCGGTGGAGAAGCAAGAGCCTGTATTGTTTTGGAACCCTCATGAACCTCCCTGACCAACAATTCAGCAAAGTTTCCGTACCCAGGGATTTCTGTCTAATAACCTACAGCTTCTGGAAGCAACGTTATCTGTCCATGCGGGATACTTCCATTTTCTTTTTAATTATATTTTTAAATTAGCTTATGGAGTGGTAGGTCATCATAGGACTTTTTTATACACCCTCACTATTGATTAATTCTTCTCCTTACCCATTCCTTTTCCCATCTTCCACCCTGCTGCTCACTTAAAAGGAAAGCTGGAAGAGAAGTTACTGGTTTAAAGGATTGGATTTAGAGTGTGTGTCGTCTGTATGCATAGTGAATGCATATGAGTATGCAGGTGTATGTGCCCGTGCACATGCATGGGGAGGCCAGGACAGGAGATCGGGTGCCCCCACCCCCTTATTACCCTGAGGTAGTGAGCTCTCAATTTGCCTGTTTCTGCCCTTGTATGCTGGGGTTGTGGGCACATGGAACCTTGTCAGCCTTATGTGGGTGCTGGGGATTCTAACTTGGGGCCTCGTGCCTGCAGAGCAGCAAGTGCAGAACCCACTAGCTAGCTTCTTAGCCTCAGGACTTGAACTTTTTAAGTTTCTTGTTGACTATTACAAATTGCTTTCCAGAAGGATTTTTACTACTTTATATGATCAAGAACAGTACCCAAAGATAGCCTTTATATGTATTATTCTAATATATATTATGGTATATTATTTAGTTTCATAGCAGTTAGAACAGCTTTTAAATTCCCCCAAGTCTCTGTGGCTTACTTATTACAACAAATTTTATTGTTTATTTTTTGTACCTACTTATTTATATCAACAGGATAGCCTACTTTTTTTTTCTTTTTTCTTTTTTCTTTTTTTTGAGTCATTTGTGTAACTGTCATCTCCACAGATTTCATGTATACTGTCAGTTGCATCTATAATCTCTGTGGAAATGTGTTGCTCTTCCAGTTGTATCGTGGCTTGAAGTTTATACCTACAGATACATCATATCTGTACCATTTAGTAGGAACATAGGCATACCCAACTTGAAAGAAGGTCTTGAAGTACAGTCTTACTGTGAGCTAAAAAAAGTTTTTTTTTTTTTAAATGTGTATTTATTTATGGTAGGGAGCTCAAACATGCCATCGTGGATATGTGTAATCAAGGACAACTTACGGGAGTCAGTTCTCTCCTTCCTCTGTGGTGGTCCCAGGGACTGAACTCAGGTATCTGGCTTGGCAGCGTGATACCTGAGTTCATCTTGAACCATCAAGTCATCTTGTCTTGAAGCCTAAGACGATCTGGAGCTACCTAAATGGTCAGTGTTTTAAAACTGACAAAAGATGATGCCAGCTCATTTGAATTTGATTTTTTTTTTTGCCAGTATAAAATAGAATTGTGTTTCATATTTATAGGACTTTTATGTTCTTTTTAATTTAAATTTTATAAATAAAAATAACAAAAATTAAAAGTAAAAATAAAAGTTTTACTTTTACGCTTTATAGTTTTCAAATTGTTTCTGGTGGTGTTTGTTTGTTTTGTGAAGATGATGGCCACAGCAGTGTTAGTACAGAGGTAATTGCTGATACAGTTTTATCATAGCAATAGAAACACGAAGACACAGTGCTTGCTGCACTAACACAAAAAACCGAGTTTAGATCCCTGGCATCCACCTAAAAGAGCAGATCATGGCCACAAACATACCTGTAACCCCAATATGCAGGCAAAAAAGCAGACGCATCCCAGGAGCTAACTGGCCAGTTACCTGTGAGCTTCAAGTTCTGTGAGAGATCCTTCCTTAAGGGAAAAAGCAGCGTGCTGGTAAGTGCACACAGCATACTTCTTAAACCATACAGCATGCACACGCATGTGCACTCACAGTGTTAATGCCGAGGATTATCATTAAGGTCAAACAAACAAGGTTGGGAATGTAGCTCAGAGGTAGAGTGCTGGCTTTTCATGTGTGAGGCCCTCTTTTCAATTCCCAGCACAAAACAACCAAAACATAACAATAAATAATCCAAAGCAATAGAAAGTCTGTCATTTTTTTCTTGTTTTATTTTGAGAGAAGGACCTTTTACGCCTTTTAAGCTTATATCTTATAAATCCATCCCTGAGAGAATCCAGGACAGGAACCTGGAGGCAGGAGCTGGAGCAGAAGCCACGGAAGAGTGACTTACTAATTCCCCATAGCTTGCTCAAGCCTGCTTTCTTACAGCTCCCAAGACTACCAGCTAGTGTCACACCACTCACAGTTGGTGGGGGTCTCTCATGTCAATTATCAGTGATAAAAATACACCACAGGCCTACAGACCAAATTTTCTCAATCAGAAGTTCCCTCTTCCCAAGCGAATATGGATTGCATCAAGTTGATATAAAGCTAGCCAGCACATGCTCTGACTCATCTCTCCAGACCCAAGAGTTCTTAATTTTGGACTTGGTTCAATCTTCTAAAGAACATTGTGATCACAAAAGAAGTAGGAAGTAAATAACCAAGTTAAAGTTTCCTTCTGTGAGGAAGTAAGATGCCAGCTCAGATCTAGTTTTATTGACCATGTCTTTTTTTTTTCCTCTTCCTTTCAGGTGTCTGTCCAACCAAAGACTTGTGCTCTAGAAGTTTCTTGGTGGTTTGCCTAGAAAACCTAAGGTGAGTTATTTATGAATGTATCTGGCACTTTATATGTAGTTTGTAATGAGAATGAGTCGTTTCTGACAATTAAAGACGGTGATATCTTTCCCTAAGTGTTTCAATAGGAAGCGAGACTTTTTTTGTAATGCTATGTCACAATCTGAATACTTATAGTTTGTGGGTTAGTTTGGGAATATACTGACTCCACTGCTAAGATGCTTTGGAGTATTTTTTTTTTCTATAAACATTTCATTTTATTTTTTTTAAGAAAGTACTTCAGAAAGAGGAAAATAATGTAGATCATATATATATATATATATATATATATATATTAAAATCCTTTACATAATCTTCATGCATAAAGACCCAGGGGTAGCCATATTGTCTGTGACAGCCCCAAATATCAGCTGTTTCAGGCTAGTGCCTGGAACTTCCCATAGCCAGCAGCAGTGAGTGGAAGGCTTTCTCTATCTGCCCCTAGGGCCTGCCAGACGTGTCTCAGTAACAGTTTTACCTTCTGGGAAATGTTTTTGGCTAGATGGGAGGGCAGGGAGGAACACCCTTGACATTCTTCATCTAAACTCTGGCAAACTGAGGAAGATGACTGGTCAAGGGCCAGAGAAATTCTGGGGCGTCTCAAGAGTTGTTCAGTGTGGCTTGGGGCCACTGCACATGATAGTAAGGTGTCCAAAGGATATACAAGGCACGAGTAAAAACCTTGAAGATCTCTGCCTCCATGGTAGATAACTCTTCTATCTTAAATATACCCAAGAACAAGGTCCAACTCTCTTCTGACTCCCAAACCCACTGGTAACTGAGAAATGTACTTGAGGGACAAACCTGTAAGGGAAGGTCAGCCAGTCATATATCCGATGTCTGTCAGTCAGTCATGGTACGAAAGGATTGCAGTGGTGGAGGAGGTAAGATGCTGGCATGGGGTGAGAGTCAGGACTCTGGGTGTGGAAAAGAATTCCTTGGGTTTTGGGAGGTTCTGCCAAAGAGGTTTTTTTTTTTTTTTTTTGGTTTTTCGAGACAGGGTTTCTCTGTATAGCCCGGGCTGTCCTGGAACTCACTCTGTAGACCAGGCTGGCCTCGAACTCAGAAATCCGCCTGCCTCTGCCTCCCGAGTGCTGGGATTAAAGGCGTGCGCCACCACCGCCCGGCCTGCCAAAGAGGTTTTATTGACCATCTTTCAAAAGAAAAAAAACCTGAATGGTCTTGAGGTTGATAAATGGAGACTGTCTTTTTAGTTGTTGTTCCCAAAGCCCTTGTGAGCTATTGTAGGCTATGCTCAGTATTTGGAAAACCCCTGAATAACTAAAGGATGCCGCTTAGGGCCGCAGAAAGGAATAAAGGATTCCCAGAGATTGGCATGGAGTATTTTCTCATTGCTTTCTCTACTTGAAATTGGAGCTAATATATGCTGCTGATATGACACACAAATAATTAAAGGTAATAGATGGTTTTAATTTTTTAATTTGTATTTATATATTGGTTTATAGACAGTTTCACTATATATCTCTGGTTGACCTGGAACTTCCTTTGTAGGCCAGTATGGCCTGAGCTCACACAGGTCCATCCACCTGCTTCTCGCTTCTGTAGTGCTGGAATTGAAAGAGTGCACCATCACACCCTAATCTGACATGTTTAAAGACAAACCCTCTATTGGTTAAGTCAGATTAAGACAATCACGATTTCAAAAGGCCAGTTAGTAAAGGGTTTCGTACCGCTCTAGTCCTCAACTCAATTACCTTCTATAATTCCTGCTATTGGCCTTATGTAATAAGGTGTATCCATTAGTGCGCTAATTTAAACACACAGTTTCCCCTTTACAGAAAGCTTCTGTAGACAGCATTCTACTTTAAAGGTAATACTAAAGTCTTGTCTATCTTCTTACCTGTCTTGGCTCTAGTTCTCTTCATTTCCAAATTTTCTTTTAAGAAAATGGTTGAGGGCAGGGTGCAGGTGGCAGGCTCCGCTGGTGGAGCCCTTACCTAGTGCTCACAAAGCCTAGGTTAGTTCCCTGCACAGCATTAACCTGGCATGGCAGTGCATGCCTGTAATGCCAGCACCTGGGAGACAAGTAGGAGTCAGGAGGACCAGAAGTTTAAGGTCCCCTACCTTGAGAGCTTGACGCTAGACAGATTAATGCATGAAATCTGGTCTCTAAAAATGTTTTTCGCCTTCATTTAAAACCTTTGAAGAAGACCACTAAATCTCTAGTCTAGTCTTTCTACCTGGAGTCTGGCTGCTCTAAGCCATTTTTGTCACTGACAATATGACATTTTTTTTTCCCCTAAAGTATAAATGCCAGCATGCCCATGTGATTTTCAGAATCCTTCAGTGTCTTTGGATTACATAATATCTTAGACTCTTTCAGAGAACATTGTAATCTAGTCTTTTCTCATATTTTCCTCCAACTCACTAGTGTCCTAAGCATGATTGTTTAGTTCATAACACGTCTTTACCAAGAAATAATTTACATATTATAGAGAGAAGTCTCAGGGAGTGAGACTCGGTAGCCCTTCCTTTTGATGCTCAGTACTGCTCACTGAGATGTGACCATCAAAGTCCAGTTCCTACTCCCGTACTCTAAAGGAAGTAGTGGGCTGAGAGTCTTTCAGTAGGCCTGCCAGGCTTCATTGTTCTGAACTTTTTGTCTTTTCAGTCTGTCTGTCTTTTTGTTGTATGTCCAGGAAGGCTTCCTTAAGTTGGTGTAGTTTTCATACTTGTACCCAGAACTTTTCAGTATGTCATCTTTTCTTGGAGATGACATTCAAATCTGTCACATCACCCATGGAGCATCTCTTGTGACCGCTGCTTACCTTCCCCTCTTCCCAAGTCTTGCTTCTGCAGGGAGGCACCCTCTTCTACCTGCACATAAATACCAAGCAGACATCTGTGTTCTTAGTGACATTTAGATACATCTAATAAAATGTGACTTAAGTGCTGTACTATTTAATTGGCTGGCTTCCAGATTTTCTTTTAATCAATTTCCCAGCTGCCTAATAATGCTGTATTTATAAAATAATTATTGTGTGAAAGTAAATCATCTTGACTAAGTATGGGAACTGATTGACCTATTTGCAGAAAAATTAGCTTAAATTCTAAGTATGAAATAATGGAAGGGCAATTTAAAAAGTTGATTAAGGAAATTAAAGTATACGAATAGAAGAGCCATTAATGCTGGAAACGGTAAACTTTTTGATTATCATAAAATACCCAGCAACTCAGTACCCAACTATAAGAATGAAATCTGTGAATAAACACAATAAAAATGATTGTCTACCTTGTCCTAAGCTAATATTAATTAAATTTCAGTTTGGAGAATGTTCTTAAAAAACTTGTCTTTGGAAAATTACTCTGTTTTGGGTGTCTGTGTGCGTTTTTTCAAGACAGGTTTTTCTGTATAGCCCTGGCTGTCCTGAAACTCACTCTGAAGACTAGATCTGCCTGCCTCTGTTTCCAGAGTGCTGGGATTAAAGGCATGCGCCACTACCACCCAGCTTGGTAATTTATTCTTATAATGAACATTTTTGTATCAAGAAGCTGATTGATTCTGCTAAACCCATCATGGGACTATATCCTGGAATGTGACACTATTATTGATTGAATAAACAGCTGCTTGCCAAAGCATATTTCTTTGTGTACTCAGTTATGTGTAAGAAAGGCTTTCAGTCACTGTTTCAGGAGGGAGGGGGATGTGTCATACGTTTAGTCATGACTCCAGTCCGGCAAACTGAGATTGGTGACTTCCTGCCCTCCTGAGTCAGTCATCAGTCGTGCTGTGAAGACCAGTTTGTGTGTGCGTGAGAACGTGCTGTATAACCAGGACTCCCGTTCAGAACTGAAGCAGGCTCTTAGCTCCTTCTCTGTGTTCAGTTCTTATAAGTTAGAATGTAGAACTATTTTTCCTTTTATCTTCTGCTTACCGTCATTTCTCTTGCGGTTGTACATGGTTGTCAGATGGTAAAGCCCAGGTTCTATTCATTTTCACCTGTTTTGTTTCATCTAATGAGTCTAGCGTGGTGGGTGGTGTCTCATTTTCCTCTTGAGGGAAACGTGAGGGAAATTACCTACCACATGCTAGACTTATGATACCAGTCATTTCAGCATTTTTATAAACATATGGCTCAGGTGAAGACCTAATGCCATGTACCTTAGCTTAGCAAGCTTTGATCTTCGGTTTCCCGCTTTGCTTGTTCTCAGTAACGGTTAGTGTCTAAACAAGATGGTATTACAGAAAATGTATGTCTTTGATAGCATAACTTGGAAATCTTAACATTACAATACGGTTAAAATGTCTTGTTAACATTATATAACATAGAGTGTATATTTGGGAGTCCTTCAGTGCTGTAAAATGCAGTTGTCTTTCAAGTAAAGTGAGCTAGTTCTTTGCTTTTAAATTTTTATTAAGTCTTAAAATCAGCATAACAAAATAATGGGTTGTACCCTGGCATTTCATACATATATGTCATTGTACTTTGTTCTAATTAATCCCCAAGCTAATGTTTTTAATAGGTATAGTTTATTTTTAAGGCATAGAGCTGTTTTATTATATATACCTATAAGCCAAATATGCTTGCTCTAGCAGAGTGGTTCTCAGCCTGTGCACGTGTGCGTGTGTGTGTGTGCGTGCGTGCGTGTGCGTGTGTGTTAAAATGATCTTTTCACAGGGGTCACTTATTAGATGTCCTGCATATCAGATACTTACAGTATGATTAATAACTATAGCAAAATTACAATTGTAAAGTACCAAGAAAAATAGTTTTACGGTTGGCTGTCACTGCAAGATGAGGAACTATATTAAATGGTTGTAGCATTAGGAAGGTTGAGAACCACTGTCCTATCAGGAAAATGGGTGAATAGTGTTCTTAATTTGTCCAGATGGATTACAGGCTCATACCTGCAATCCTAACACTCTGGCGGCTGAGGCAGGAGGAGCCTGAGTTGGAGGCAAGTTGTCTGAGAGAAATATTTCAGTTCACTTCATAATTTAAGGTGTTAAACATGGAAAA